AATAAACTGGGTACCAGTGGTCACCTGAACAGCAACTCCGAGGCCCCTAGTTCGAATCCCGTCATCGCCGCCCACCTTCTCCACTTCTATATGGTCCAAGGGAGCCTTCAATCGGCTACAGCTCTCTTTCTGAAAACTTATTTCACGTTTGTATATTCAATAGGTGAAAAGGAGGTAAAAACATTATTATCATCATAACTATCACCAGTATTTACCTCATCAATTATTTACTTCCATCTATGTTATTAATTCAAACAATTTAGAAAGAACTGGGCAGATAGGATCCAATGCAGAAGTGCACTTGCTTTTCTCCAGTTACGAAAATCGATGCATGAAAAACAAGACACTCACTTCGAATGTACTTCGCTCGAGGGGGCACTTCTATGTTCAACAGCTTCTCCACAGCAAGACAATAGCCCTGTTCGTTGCACATCATGGCTGCGTAATCAAGCCGATCGAAATAGGGGAGAGCCTGAAAAGTGGGTGGGAAAAATAAGGTAAATCAGTGCACTGTTAAATCTTATATATATATATATATATATACCACATATTCCATATTTTGTATGTTATATATATAAATAATTGAGTTCAGTTACAAGTATACGCATGTTTTCATTTTGATCAGCATGCGAAGACGGCCTCATCAAATCTAAAATAAATGGGGTCCCTTTTGATAGTTACGGTACTTCCAAATACACCGGTTGAGGCTGAGCACTTTACTTGGTGTTTTGCATGCCACACGGTTTTCGACGCTGAACGTCTCAACTGTAGTCGTCCTCACGGGATGGCGTGCATTTGCCAGCTTGCCTTATTTTTAAAATTTCATTTATTCGAAGACAAATGCAATTCCTGTATGAAACTAGTGAATCGTATGGCAAGATGGTGTCCTTGTATAGCTCACCATTAGGATAATGAAATGGTAGCGAAGATGTCATTTAATACAGGTTAAGGTCGCGAATGTCACGATGTTCTTTTCTGGACACTTGTGGTTTTTATGTTGTGAAGAGACATCCTGAATGATGCGGACTCGAAAAGTCGAGTGGTTGTCGTCAAAGCTGCGACATAGAGGTCCTGCGTTAGAGTCCCGCAAACGCCGCCTATATTCCCGTGTTTGGAATTCAGCAGCAGTGTTTGCATGTCCGCGGCTCCCTTCCCGGACGACGGATGTGTAGTTGTATACTCAGTAAATGAAAGGGAAGTAAAAACAGATGGGTCCGTACCGAAGGGGCGGGAGCAAACAAAATAGGATACCACCATTCACTTTCCGTGGAACGACACATAGGGTACAAAATCAGGTCGAATGGATGCTGCGTATCTTGAACGTTTTACATTATTACGATCCAGTCGTTCATTAAAGTAACGAATCGTATTAGCCTTAATGGCGTTGATAACTGTTTGACCTTCTTTACACTCCGTTCTATATCCCAATCCACCCAACCTCTGTTTCTGCCATTATTGTTGTGGCGTTGGTATATA